TATCACTACTAGGAAACACTTATAGAGAATAAATGGACAAAGCCAAATAGCTAATAATGACTTTAAATATAAATTCAACAACAAAATTCAGGAAATCACCAAGGGCCGTTACAAAAGGAAATTAAACATAAAAGTGTATCAAATTCTCATGCTAAAATAAGAAGTCTAGGCTACCGTCTCAAAATGGCAATATGATAAAAGTAAAAGGTGATACAATTTCAAACTCAAGATTTCCTTGTGACGTCTTTACCGAGCTTTCCAGTTCTATCTTATAATTGCCTCAATGTTTTACTTGCAAAACCTATCATCTTTAATTACTCCCTAAGATTGTATACAAAAAGTTATCAAGTCCTTCTCCAATTCCAATGCTACCACCACTGTTCTGGGTCTGTTTTACTACCTATATGGCTTAACAGTTACCTACAAGGTTCAGGTGGTCTGTTCTTTTCATCAATGATACCACTGCAACATTTATCATGCTAAAAATCACACTTTCTGGGGCCGGCCCGGTGGCGCACTGCTACAGTGCGCCGCTTGGGAGTGTGGCGGCGCTCCCGCCGAGGGTTCGGATCCCACATACAGACCGGTTCCCGCTCACTGGCTGAGCGAGGTGTGGGTGCAACACCGAGGGTTGCGATCCCGTTGCTGGTCCCGGTCCGGTGCGGGTGCGACGCTGAGGGTTGTGATCCGTTGCCGGACACGAAAAAAAAAAAAATCACACTTTCTTCCTGTCAGCATCTCCTTACATAACTAGGATCCCTAATTGAATAACATGCAACACCTCAGGTTAACATTCAAGGCCCTAGGCCAACAGGCTCCTTATTTCTCCCCCCAACTCAATTAGAATCATTATTCCAACCAGTCTCTTAGTTTTCCTCCAAACTACGTTAATAATTCTCTTTTCCATACTTTTGCCCATTCTGCTTTCCTTGCCTAGAATAATTTTACCCCTCTTTCCAACCTGCCATTCTGAATCCTTATCTACCAACGTGTAGAAATGTTCATCGAATGCAATGAACTTACCTGTAATCTGACTTTGTGTAATGTCCACAGACCCCTAAGTAATTCTATAGTTTCAATTGTTTATCTAGTTCCAGTCCTCTGGTTAGGACTGGAAACTCTTTGAAGGTAAGAATTACATTTCCATTTTTTTTGTATTACTTAACTAGAGAAATATATAGCTACTTGAAATCACAGAATTGTTCTTTGAAGAAATCATGTAATACAGCACATTCATTATTATAGTAAGAAAAAAATCTAATTCAAGAACACATAATACTTCAGTGGAAATACAAGAACTAGTATTTAGGCCATAATTTATAATCTAATATTATTTGACACTTAATAAGAGCCTATTAAAAAAATGAACTCCAGGGTATAAAAATCATCTTGTAAGCCTGCATCCAGAAACATTACACTGAAATTTAAAAGACAATCAGTGCCTCATCAAAGTACAGATTGCCCACTGCACTGTATTTTCCACAAGTCAAGAGGACAAAAATGAAGTTCTTTGATACACTTTGATAACCATCTTTAAAAACCTTAAATTTTTACACAAATTCAGTAAATTTGAAATTCCATCTTTCTGCTTAATCCTTGAAATATTCATAAATAAAATGGCCTCACTGCATCTAAACAAAATTTTACATTACAAATAAGATCAGGATAGCCCATGATTGCATTGACATATGAAGAAATTTGAAATTATACTAGTAAAACAGAAGACTAGATAAAAACAACAGCAGCATTATTAAAAAGGCCTTCTATCTTCCGTTAGAACATTTTTTTCCCTTTACTTATCTGTATGGGAATAGTAATAGATTATTTCACCCCAATAGCTCTGATCCCTAGATTACTGATGATAATTAAATTGTTCATATTTCTATACAGCAAAAAGAGAAGAATTAAGATAATCAAATCATATCACTATTATACGACTTAGTTTATAAAATTATGCTTTCCTGCTTCTTAACAATAAGTGTATTCCAACTTCATATTTTCTCCAGAAGCCAAGAATCATCAGTCAATTGCTATACATTACTATTTGCTACACTTTAATGTAGTAAATACATTAAATTTATTTCACATTACTATCAGGTATTATTTAACAATCAGATTTTCACTGACCCTAGAAACATTAGATATCAGATATAACTTTCTAGTTTTTTCTTTTTTGTTTTTAACTCTAGGTAGATAGATCAACTTAGTACAGTCCTCTAACATTTAGAAATATAACCTATTAGTCAAATTAGATATGCATTTAACATTCTAATAGCCCAATTCTATTTCTGAAAACAAACATCTCCTTTTTCTTGCTCTGCAGTTAAATGAAGGAAAAAACTTTACATAGAAATATATTTCTGCTCTAAAGACACCTTTTAGTACAAATGTATTACATACGACAAGAGTCTAACATGAGAAGAGAATAAAGTATGAAAAGAAACCAACTGCAATAGGGAAAAATACAAAACAGCAAGGTCAATAAACAGACTTGTAATAAATCTGCATGTTAAACCAATATGGAGCTTTGAAACTAGAATCTATAAATTTAGGTGTCTAGTTTCAAAAAAAAAAAAAACAAAGAAAGAGAAACTAACGTATATCTTAAACCATATGTGAAAAATGAGATAAAAATAAAAAGGTCTTAGTCTTTTTCCATAAATCAGAGCCATAATAAATAAAGCTCATAAGCTCATCTGCTACTTAAAAACCTAACAGAAGGAATGACTAGGTGGTATTACTGGCAGGCAAGTCAATTTATCACTCTGGAATATTCGTACAATTCTCACAAAAAAGCAAAGTAGAAAGAGGTTTGGTAAACAACTTTCCAGACTTCATTCTAAATATAGCAAGGAAGTTCTAAAAAATAATTTAGAGTATAATTGTAAACTACAATTACAAGTTCACTTTCATTCATTTATTTAACTATAAAAAATATGTATACAAAAAGTCATATACAAGTGATAATTCTGGACACCTGATCCTTGCTTTTAATTGGCAATTAGTACATTTTAACTACATCTTTTGTGTTAACTTCCTCATTACCCAAATATATTAGAGTTAAAAGTGTTGCCTAAGAAAAATATTTGGTTTTATAAAATCAGCCTTGCTGGTGTTACTCACTTATAATTATATTAAGTTTAAAGAGGAAAAAAAAGTTACATATCATGAGATTGTTGAGACCACACAGGGAAAACAGTAAAAACTGAACCCATTTAAAAGAAAAGCAAAGTAATCTAAAAATAACTGATTTAATTCAATTTTCTTTTTTTTTTCCAAGTCCTCTGATGAAATTTTTTTGGGGGGAAATAAAAATCTGCTTCCATTCCAAAGAGTCCATCTATATCCAACAATGCACTAATCTTGTCACTACACAGAATTCTGCTGAACACTAAGTACCTACACTGACAAAATGAACTTTATTCTCATCTTCACAAAATTAAAATAGGAACCCTAAACTAGAAGGTCTTAATCACTGGGTTCAGGAATAAAAATATTTACACAATGGAAGCCAAAAAATATTCTAGTCTGAACTATCTAGATATCTGGGCAAGAGCAGTTTAGACATATTGTCTCAGAAATTAATAGATTCAGATCTAGCCTGGTCAGATTTTACCATTCAAATACGTATGACTGTAGTACTAGTATTTACTGCATACAGTAGACTTCACTTTGCAATTGTTCATCTGAAAACTTTTATTAGCATTTTGAAGACAGCACACTAAATAACAAATAAAACTTGAGGCATATCCTGACGCCATACAGTACTTCTTTGAAATAAAAATTTTAAAAGATCCTAAGTAAAATGCCTGGCCCATGTTTAGCTCAAGCACAGGTTCTCCTCCTCCTTCTTAGTAGCCAGATAAATCTGAAATGTAAAGAAATAAAGCTCTTACCCCACCCCCACTTTTTTTTTTTTTTGACAATAGTAACGTCTATTGAGATGTAGAGTTTTTCTTCCCCCCATTTATTATCAACACATTGCTTTAATAATATAGGAAGCAGACACCCTACAAAAAGATGAACAAAGCATTTTCTTTTTACTATCTTATATTGAAGTTTTAAAATAAGAATATTTAGGTTAAGTATTTGTGTTTTGCTTTTACTATGGTAATTGCCAAAGTAAAAGCAAACACAAATTTTATTTGAAACTAAATAGTATAAAAGAGAAAGTGAGAAGTAGTCTCCATTGTTTAGACTAAAAAAAAAAAAATTATACCTTCTAAGGTATTTTTTAAAAAATGCTTATGACAAAACTACTATAGTTCATGCATAACCAGGAAAAATACTAATTCTCTCTATAATAATACATTCATGTATAGCTAACCTAATAGTTTTTACATATACATTGCAAATGTAGACCATAAAAGGGAAAGTGTATCAAGATAGTACACTTATCCCTATGCATTTTACAAGAAAAAGCTCTAAACTTCTAGAAATAGTATTAACCCTTCATAACTATAGAAAATTAATTTGCCATATTTGTCTTCTGCTAATGATTTTTCTAGATGAACATGTCAGAAACAATCAAATTCAAATTTAAATCCAACCTGTAATTTATTAGAATAAATAGGTCATAAATTCAACATCTACCAGCCACAATACTTTAAAAAGCAATTGAAATGTGCACCATACTACTGACTTTAAACCTCATCCATAACATCCCCATTTGATAGACTACTGGTATAAACAGATTATTTCCCCTTAGAAATTTCTAGCTCCTTACAAAGTTGTTACTATAGCAAAACTTTCCAACTCGATTTGGATATATATTTACCTACTATAAACTAACAGCTGAGAAACATCATAGCAACACATAACCTCAATATATGTATAATTAAGAGAAAAGCCAACACCACATGATTTTTCACAATATATACCTGATTACACCATTCCCTTAGAATTAAACAGGGAAATACAAATTTATTTGGAACGAATTAACAACACAGAACTGGGGAGAACAAAGTAAAAGTTAAAAAATAAAATTAAAGAAAGGATACAGCCTTAAAGCACCAGTCAGAGTTCCCACTGCCAGGATCTTCTGTACGGGATCAAAGGCCAGGGCTGAGGGTTGATAAGGAAATCCATGGCGAACAGTCTAGGGATGGGCAAGTGACATCACAGCAACCAAGGCAGCAAGCGAAATTTAAAAATAGAAAAGTCAATACAGGCATTAGAATTTAGAACCAACTATAACTGATGCAAAACACACACGCACATGCACTTAATACTTTTTTTTTTAAGTGAAATCTACATTAACAAAGTTATTCACAGAACCTAAAACAAAAATTTATCTCAGTTTAACACTTTAATTTCTGCTTTTCCATAATACTGGCATTCTACAGAAAAAAATTCTAAATATTCTATACTATTACATCTCACACCGAATTACTAAAGTTTGCAGTATCTAAAATTCTGTAAATTCATCTAAAAATGTGATTCACGCTTTAAGAGTAATCATCCCATCATTACTTTATTTGCATGCTAAGTATTTTAAAGGAAAGGCTGCCTTATAATTACTTTAGTCAAGTACTCAGTAAAGCAATTATCAAACCTCTATCCCTGCACTTTGCAATCTTAATAGAATGAAAATGAGTATATGTATTTTTGCAATTTACTGTTAAGTCCACAAAAATTTTAGGGCACTAGGGCAAAAAGTGTATGTACACACTTTTAAGAAACTCTAACATACGAATGCATAACTATAAGGAAGGTAGGTATTAATCCCCAAACAAGTTTGTATTTCTCATTGAACAGCTGGTGAATTAATTCGCTGCATCATTCTTTCTGAATTACAGATCGCTATGGCAATTATCGTGCCATTAATAGGCAAAAATCACAGTACTAACTTTTTATGCAAATACAATGATTAACAGAACCCTGCGATTTCATATTGTAAACCACTCATACCACATTTTAAGGCAAAAGTGATGAGCAAAGATCTGGTTGAACGGGTTTGGCTTTTTGATAAACAATATTCATTACACACTGTTTCCAAAGGAAACTTCGCAGTTGGCGAATTATATTAAGCTGCCAGAATATAAAAGCTTCCAGATTATTGCTAGCAGTGTCAGAATACAAACCAAAGGTCAGATAATACGTCTGAAGCAACCTTGAATCGACTGCTGCAGGTGAAAAGGGGAGAGAAAAAAAGATCAACGAAAAGGAGTAAGATGTCAATCTCCGAAATAACCCATCAAGGAAACATTTGCTAGGGGAGGAGCGAGCCCTTGATTAGAGCTATGATTATTACTGGCGCTCTCTTTCCTGCACTCCCTGTAAAGCACGAGTAGCCCCCTAAAACGACCCCAATTTTTCAGTGACGGCGTCGCAAAGCTGCGCGCTCCGTTCACCTTGCAGAGCTGAAAGTGCTCGGACTGGAGCGTTTCCTGGATCTCGGGCTCCCGGTTCCCAGGCGGGTGTTGCTGCTGCTGCTGTTGCTGCGAGGCCGAGGACGAGCCGGCGGTCAGGCCGTCCAGCACCTTCCTGATGTTGAATTTCCTCATGGTCTCGGCGGGGAGGCACGGGGGGTCCCCGGGTGGGGGACACAAACAGGGGCCGAAAGCAGCTTAGACCGGGGGCACTAAGTGGACGTGTGAGGGGAAGGAGGCAGCTGGGGGCGGGGGGAAGCAAAAGATAATCCCAACAGGAAATACTGCGACGAGAAAGCGGCGGCCAGAAGAACACCAGGCAGCGACCCCACTTCTTCCGAGGCCGCCGCAGCTCGCCGAGGCTGCTGTGGTGCCGCTTCACCGCCGCCGCCGCCTCCTCGCTCCGCCGCCCGGCGGCAACAGCAGCAGTGGCGGCG